CAAACCTTCTTGAAACATCTTCTGGACAAGCATTGCTGCATTATTACCATAAGATTCAGAAGTGCTTTGCTTCTTGTAATTTTCAAAAACCATCTTATCATTTTAAGGCACTCTTGGTCGATTTGATAATGCAACGATATTGACACGTAGCTTTCAGTCTTTGGGTTATTTCAAGATACCACGAATGTTCAACCAAATTGCCTGAAGTAAGTCCCATCACTTTCCAGTGTCATTTCTGCCCAACTATTTCCGGATGATTTTTGAAAATTTGGCCGACTGACATGGTTTTTCAAAATATATATGCACAGTATACTTATTCTGAACTTTGTAGGTAACATTTTTGTCATTGACTTCATTCATTTCCTCATGCATTTTAAAAAACGCCTGTTCTGAGAAGCTCCATCTGCAGTTGCGAATGCGACTGATAATTTGCATCACATTTTCAGAATAGCAACAGCCTTCCATTATACAGGAAACAATTGGACAGACGTAACTGACAAGGTTGCGAAATTACCCAATACAAATTGCAACTTGCTGAATATGCCTTTTACCATTAAAACAAGGGCATGCGTGGCTAATTGATCTTGCATATCTAGGGAAGCATAATTGATATCGGGATCACCAAGGTCTACATATCCTATAAGTTCCCCTGTGCTTTTGTCAAACACAAGACTAATCTGGACTTTCATCTCATCAAAAATTATTACAACAAATCTTTCAACTGATGTGAAATCTTTAACCAGATCTGCTAAATAGCTAACAATTTCAGGACTAAAACCAGTTTTTGGCCTGATGGCATTGCTATAGTCCCTTAATGTCCTTCTACTCGATGCTGCCGATTTTGATGCTATTGAAAGACACCACCTTATAATCATTGGGTGATACCTATGCCCTTTTGTACTCCTGGAAGAATTTATCTGCTGTTGCTGCCAAAACAGCTTCTTGAAAGGGCTCATAGTATCCCCATGCTTTGTAATCAACCGAAGAATATCATAGCTCAGATCTGAATTCATTGGAACATTGTGACGTGAGATTTCTTTCTTCATCTCATTGATCTTGGATTCCAGAAGTCGACATTTTAACCTATTTGCCTGAAGTGTCAGTTTCAATCGCTTTGATGAAGTGAGACTTACTGGTGCTTTTGGTTTTGCAGGAATAGCTTGCCTGTTTGCAAGTCTTTTTTTGTTCTTTGCATATCCTGTTTATTGTTCTATGCAATTAGTACATTTCAATTCAGATCTTAATAGAACATGACATTCATTAGCGCGCTAAAAATCCTGTGCTTGAAATGGCAAGCTGTTCAAAGTTTGCTCTTTTGATTCTTCAGGAATACAGTGCCTGATAGATCCTCCACAATAACTTTCAACATTGTGGCACATCACAAATTATGGCACTGTCTAAATTTCTGATCAAGTCAGACACAGTTACTAATCTTACAGTTCTTTTGAAATCATTGTAAATATAATGATTAACTGGGATTTGCCAATTAAATACAGAAACAGTAAAGGTAAGTTCATATTCAATTGTGATA